CGCTCGCGGGCAACCCGTGGGCGCAGTGGAAGGTTTACAACACAGGCAACGGCAAGCTCGCGTTCCAGGCGGACTCTGGCAACTACTTGGCCCGCTGCAACAACTGTGCAACCGGTGCCGCGTACCCGGACGAAGGCTTTGTGCACGCCAAGAACTGGCGCGACGGTGCGTGGGCCCAGTTTACATGCGTCGACCTCGGCAACGGCAAGATCGGTCTCCAGGCCGACACGGGCAACTTTGTCTCGCGCTGCAACAACTGCGTCCGCGGCGCGTACCCCGACGCGGTCACGATGCATGTCAGCAACCCCAAGCTCGGCGCGTGGTCGCAGTGGACGGTCGTCAAGCAGTAAGCAAGGCCACCATTCGATCTTCGTCCCGCGGCCGTCGCGTGCCTGTGTCCATGGTGCAGCTGTCTAACCTCGTGAATCAACGTTCTATTCTTTGTGCTAACAAGCTGACCAAGTGTTGATGTAGTGACTAATGTACTAGAGGAGTGAACGAATGTATGGAACAGAGTCTCCTGGGTCAAGCGATGAAATTTGTGCCCTCATGACGCGGAGAGCACTGATTGGCCAAAGACGATCCTCGTTCTTGACGCAGCGGGTGCCACGTATGGCCATCGTCGGTTTTGTAACGGCATCCGGCCTCTCTATTCTTACACACCTCGGCGCTGGCACGCAGTTGAAATAGCCACCCAAATACGAGCGACAGAGACGCATGGAGTCGCCGCCACGGTTTGTGAGCCCGCCCCATATTAGCCGCGTCATGAGCACGCATCGGCAGTCGTGCTTTGTGCCCAATATACTCTGTACTAGTACTGGTATAGCGGCACCAAACAGTGTATTCAACGTCATGCCTACAGACGCTGGTAGGTCCGGCGCCGACGTCCTTGGAGCGTCAGAAAGGCCAGCAGCACACATACTCCGAGCGCAGCGAAAAGCCCCGGCGTCTTCGTCCACGGCGTCGCATCCAGTCGCTGCGTGACGAGATCGAGGCGAGTCTCGTGGCGGTGCTGCCGGTCGTTGTTCCACGCGATCGCGCTCGTGTCTTCGACAACGTACTTTGCCGCCTTGGTCGCGTTGAAGGGGCGGATGCCGTAGAGCGACCCGCCAAACGCCGGGCTCTCATCCCAGACGAGCGCTTCGTCGCTGACGTCCGGTACCATAAAGTGGCAGTCCGACTCGATGGCGAGGTTGTTGATACCCCGGACGATGCGAAAGAATCCATTCTCGCCCCAGTACGTGCCCCACGAGTTGCGCGCACGCCAAAACTTGACGCCGGCTTCGTCCTCGCCCCACCCGACAATCTCAACGTCGTGGTCAATGTGCGTGAAGTTGGTCGTATCGTGCAGGATCCCGGCCGTGTAGTCGTTGATGAACGGCGGGCTGCACGCAATCCCGCACGTAATCGGACCGTTGAGGAGCTCGTGCATCATGGCATGCTCGCCGGCAATGCGCGCATACTCCTTCGCCCGATACCGGACCATCTTGGTCACGGGAAAGCAGTGGGGCACATTGAGGCTGTCGGGCGTCTTCATGCAGCTAGAACGATAGCGTCAGAGGAAATGAGGTAAGCTGGTAAGTGTACTTGACGCAGTAGCCGTCCGGCGGACACGTGCCATTGTACAAGTCAATGTACTTGGTGTAGTCGGTCGCGTTGTAGTGCAGACACGTCTCGTCCGGAAGGCCATACTTGTGCATAAACTCGTACACGTCCGCGGGCTCGCCGCCCTTGCAGCCGTGGGAGAGGCCGTGGCCCGGCGCGCAGTTGAGAAAGCTCTGCCGCCCGAGCATCACGTCCGGGCCGTGGAACCCGAGCTTGTGGTTGAGGATCTTGATGCGGTCGTTCGCACTCGAGAGCGCGCCGTGCGCAAAGCACGACCCGCAGTACTGCGGAATGTGCTGGTTCCAAGACGACGTGCACATACCGCGCTCGCACCAATCGAGCGCCTTTGGTAGCGACGCCATCGCCAGCACCTCGGTGGCCGTCGGTGGCGGCAGCGTATGCACGCTCGGATGCAGGTGTTCGCGCTGGCGCATCGTGCGCTGGCAGTACGAGCCATAGCCGACGCCAGTCATGGCCATGAGGACCAAGAGAAGACGTTGCATGAGGGCCGAATGCAATCTGTATCGACGACGACGACGTTCTGCCCGCGATCTTTCTTCCAGCCCAACGGGATCTTTGCGTTGCGATCTTCCGACGCACGGTAATAGTGTACGACCAAG